TCAAACTTTATAGGAATGTAGTTTCTGTCGATTGTCTATGCAGTACATTGCCTTCTCACCAATGGACATGGTCCCAGTTGCATTTTGCAGGAATGTAGTCGCCAGATTCAAAGCTTGAATCTAGTTCGTAAATGCAAACAGATACATTAGCTTTAATGCAAGCCTCAATCTTTGGTGAAGGCCAAATCTTGAATGTCCTGACCAATGCCAGCGTTGGCAGTTGCGATCAGGATGGGATGGGTACATCATACCATTTTTCAATTCCGTGCACAATTTGCAGAATTTTTGCAAGGCGGAAGGTGTACCTTTGATATTGGACGGCTCCAAGACGAGCGTCTGCATGAGCAATTCATTGCAGATGGCATAATGTCTTCATCGTGTGGCAGACTGGTTGGAAACGTCAACATATTCAGTCAAAGGGGTGGCCCACAGATGTTTGTAGTTGTGGTATGTGCTTCACAGTGTTTTGCATTCTCACCCTGAATTTAGTGGTGATCGGCTGGGCCAGGAGACGACCAAAATACCAGCAGACCTGTCACATGCATGCTGGGTGAAACACTCTGTGATGTATGACTTTACTGCTTATGCTTGCACACTACAAGAGGTGAGCTTGATACTAGGCTGGCAGCCTGTGCTAAGGATGCATGTATTCCCCTGGCTTTTGAACCTGCGTGCATCTTTCACAGTAGGACTCTCCTACTGGGAACAGAATCTTGGCATCTTTTGTCCAGGAATGGTTGGCCATTGTGTGGCATGTGTTGCTTTCTTGTTGCAATGCATTCTGAAGTTGCCCATACAGTTGTTTGGGAGTTGCAACTGCATGCCTGCAGGACATGTGCAGGTGCGTTCTATCAGTGAAGGAGAGAGCCATGCAATATGACAGTAGCCTGTGCACAATAGTTCCAGTGGAACATCCACGTTACACTAGCGCTGCAGTCCTTTTGCTGAAATTGGAGTCTCTTTACTGGCTGGTTTTGGGTTTTTGGGTACCCTACATCGTAATGAGACTGCGATTCTGACAAATGAACCAAGTCGGATGCCTGGAGATCTTGGTGTCCTAAGGTGCTGGAATTGTTGGACCATTGGTGTTTCAATGCTGTGGTTTCCATAACAATGGAAAGGTTTGGAATGGGCTGTTGTCACACTTCCGCACAAATCAATACTGGAAAGGCGATGTGCCCCAACGATGTCACCAAGTAAAGGTTGTTTGGCTGTGCATGTCTGTGGAAGGTTTTTGAGGCAGACGCCATACAAGAAATGGAAGACTGTGGTGAGCTGGATGCAATCTTGCAAGGCGCACCAAGCTCAGCTTCAACTGAGGGGTCTGCTCAAACTCGAGCCTGCCCCTGATGTATGTGGGTGGTTGACACCCTGCTTCGCAAGCCATTCATGCCAACAGAATCAAGAATCAAGAAGACTTAAGTTTCCTGTCTACGTGTGATTTTGTCAGTGGTGCTTATGATTGAATCAGGCACACATCAATAACAGCAGGCACATTCTTTTGGTTTCTGCATGCTCTTGAGTAGGAAGCGATCAAGGTGTCCAAACGTCTTCACACTGAGCTTCAGCAGTCACATGTCATCAAAAAGGCTGCGATTCATCAATCTTCAGGAGGTTCTGTCGAAGGGTTTACATGAATGAATCAAGCTTACAGCAATTACAGCAAGCGCATTCTTTTGGTTTCTCCATGCTCGAGTGGCTGACAGTCGAGGTGTCCAGGGGTTTTCAATCTGATCTTGAGCAGCCCAATGGCATCAAGAAATGCCCCATTCATCCATTTTCGGCAGGTTTTGTCAAGGTTGGTACGTGATTGAACCAAACTTTCAGCATTTACAACGGACACAATGTTTTGTTTCTGCTGGCTCCTGAGTAGCAGGTGATTGAGGTGTCCAGGGATTTTTGCTCTGATATAGAGCAGCTACATGCCTGAGGATGCCCAGGCAGGGCGAGTTGCCACGTTCTGGTGTGGTACGCAATGGCCTGTGGGACAGCACACACACAGTGAAAGTCTTAGAGTAGGTAATCTGTGGTGTTGTCCAAGTTCTGTAGAGGAGTGTCACAGCATGCGAGCGTGCCTGACTCTGTACCATCAACACAGAGATTTGTTGACCACCTATTCTTTGTATTGTACCGGGCTGTAAAGCAGCACTGCACAGCATTTGATGGACGCCAAGCACGTCGTCTTCAGTAGTTCTACTCGACCAGAGTTGTTCACGGACTTGTGCCATGCTCAGCGATGCTTGCACCGTCTTCTGACCAGGCCACATTTTCCCTCGACTTTACCAATGCATTGCAGGACAACGCTGGAAACATGCTGCAAGAATTACTGTAAATTGCAGTGAAATGTTGCACAGTCCCTTGCTGCGTGAAGCTGGCAGCCGCATCACGCGCCGAAATCGGACGGGCCGGCGACGTGGTTGGGTTTGTTGCGATTGAGCTCAGGGCGTTTCAGAGCTCGCCAAGTCAGAGGAGGCGTGGGAAGGGCCTTTGAGGCGGTGGCGTGGCTACCCCTGGGCCTTTGTTTGGGACGCTGGGTGTCTCTGGGCTTCGGCGTGCGGGCAGACTCCAAACGAAGACACGCCTTCACCTTTTCCACATGCGACATGCCACAAGATGCAGTATGCCATGCCGTGCACCACATACTAGAATGTCAAAAGTGTTGTTTTGGCATCAAAGGTAGCATGGACAGATGCAGGCTGTCTCACAAAGCGTCAGTCTGCATTGGAAACGGGCCAGTTTGCCCAAACCGCCCATGCGCAACTGCGGTTTTCAAGACGGAGCCAAATCCTTGTGGCCGTTCTCATCATTGCCTCCCAGCGCCAGTGCACGGCAATTGCCATCAATGCACAGCACGAGCACGCATTCAGAGTCAGCGACACGAACAGGAGCACCATTCCTCGCAAATTATTGCAAGCCTAGTGCTTCGTTATTAATGAAGTACCATATTTGCAGGTACTTAAAGCACTTGCAAGTCCTAAACGCGCAAGAAGGCACACATTATCCCAGCGTATCATACTCAAGCTGCCTGTACGACAGAAATGAGCTAATTCGCTGTGTATGGCGCCTGCACACAGCGCAGTGCACAGATGAAACGGTTTCCGATGGTTGGCAGAAATTCGAACCGCGTCATATGCAGGCACTGTGCGTATTTGAGATGCACTCAAAAGCCAAGAAACCATGCCGTGCACCAAAGCACCCTTCTCGCAAGTATGCGATGGGCCCTCTTCAGTTCTGCAGCGCAACACCAGCCGCTAACAGAAAGAGCGAAACCGAAGCAATGAGCTTGCACCAAGGCAAACCCGACGTGGTCTGTCCACACGACCACGAGACGAAATTGACCGTTGCTTGTTTGTGCAACGTGCGTTGTGCAGGCCACACATTTGTCCATTGCGATGCCTTCAAGTCAATCCAACAGGCAGCTCCCTTGTTCCCGCGGAGAGCCTCCGCTGACAAGGCGCGTTTTCGGCGGCACAGGCGGGCCTGGACGTGCCCCTCTCACACTGGATCCGTACGCTGCACTGATTGATGCCGTGACGTCATGTCGATGTAGCCATGTAACGAGCAAACCAACCAACAAGCACACAAACAAATATACCCTCCGCTGACCCTCTGCACGCGCTGGGCGAACGGCCCGTTGTTCTCCCAGGCCCCATGCTGCTGCACGTTCCAATATACGCGCCAGGGTCTGCTTGAAGCGCCGCCCCTTGCCCTGCACACCGATCGCAGGCTGGGTCGCAGACGAGCCTGTGGTCTAGCACGCAACATATAGTTACAACACTTATATAAATTTGGGCTCAAGGCACCGCTGTGGACAGCGGACGTGGGCAGACAACGAAACGTCAGGACCAGCGGCGTGTCATGCAAGCTTTTCCACACTCGCGCGTCATCCGACCATTGGGGATTGTTCCGCTGATACACTTCAATGAGAGTGCTCCGGATGACCCATGGGCATCCTGCTCCCCACCCAGACTGATCCATCAAGTCTTGCCTGATCTGGTCCATGTTACACGAATATGCAAGACAACCGCAGATGGTGGCACCTGGCTGATGCTCGGCTGCTGGTGCTGCCGCACCTCTCACCTAGAAGCCCTTAAACAAGCCAAACTGAAACAATAGTCAGTCCTTAGGGGCATTTCCCAGCCTATTTGTGTTCCTCACCGCACGGCCCAAGGAAGTGCGCCGGAAAAAATCCTTGCCATTCAATTTGGTCTCACGTACTGACCACGCCTGGCTGATAAAAAATTGCCAACAGGCGAACAGCTGAGAATGCCCCAGCTGCAATTGGAGCACCCGTTTGGGGGGCTGTTTGTCATGCGCTGCAAAGAAGCATGATGTGGCAGATCCGCCAATGTGACGCTACACACACTGTCGTCACGCTGTTCCAGGCCTCACGTTGCTCTGAAGCCGCTCCCTCACTCGTTGCAGGGCCATGGCAGCGGCTTGGTTTGGCGTGAGGCCCCCTCCAGCCATGAGGGCAGCGAATTCTCGCTTCAAAGCAGCCTCAAAGACAGCCTGCGCATCGGGGACACCCGTTAGGCACGGCACAAGGTGCGGCAAAAGCCGATCAGCGACGATATTCAACTCACGGACATGCAACATCGTACATTCCTCTCAGTGTGCGGACAAAACAATATAAGAGACGCGGCCACATGCAGCCGACTTAAATTGTAGCACAGTTGCCCTCACTAAGCAGAGCAGGTCCATTGCGGCTCAGGAGCGACGATGGGAGCACACGGAGCAAACACGTTTGTTCGTGTCTCAACTGCTCATTTCTTTCTGGCTTGGCAGCAAGCCGATGGAGATGGGGATACGGACATTCATCGGGGTTCTCTCCTGAGTGTGGTGCTGTCTGTGGACCTACGTACATTGTGTTCCTTGATGCAGTGGGAGTGGGGTCCTTTGCCGATCACTGTGAGTTCAGTGTAGACTGCTAGCAAGGGGATGCTGTCTGACTATCTGAGTTCAGCAGGGATACTTAACACGACCAGTGTGTCGAATTCTCACGTTTGCATGAAAGGATATTCATTCATGCATGGCAGCAAGCCCTGCGAACACAACACAGGCATTAACGATGGTCAATCAGGTGGGAAGTGCAACAGTGGCGGATTCTAAGGAACCTCATCAGGCCCCATCTAACGTTTCAGTCGGGCGGGCATGGAGCTATTCTGAGCACATTATCCTGCGCTTGTCTGCGCAATTAGTCCGGCGATGAGATTGGCCAGTCCGGGTGCTAACAATAACTGGCGATTTACACATCCCTCATCGTTGCAGACGAATCTTCGACTGGGCACAACCAAGCATCCATCTATGGCCCATGTTTCTGACAGCCACAGGATGGCTCACCTTCCCATTTGAAGTGGTAGTCTCAACTTTGCTTCTATGCGAATCTCCCTGCACTTGGTCCTTTGGTGTCTCTAAAGGGACATCTCGTGCCACAGATTGTGAAGGGCTCTATTGAGACATAAGCAAACAAATTGAACAGATGTTTCTTGCGTTCCGCATGAAGTAGCACAAAGTTCAAGGACCACTTCGCATATTAAGCACTGTGCGATTGCTATATCAGAGTGATGCAGTGCATGGGCACCTCCGATGTCTCAAGATCTTCCAGTAGTGCAATGGCAAAGAGCACCTTGGCATGACTCTGGGCCTGGCATATTGGCTATGCAGAGCTTTCACCACGCTCAAAGACATGGACATAGTGCACATTTCTTGGAGCAAAAGAGAATCATCAGGAGACACCAGTTGTTCTTGCCAACAACATTCAATGCAAACAGATGGGTAAAGGACAGTGCTTAGCGTGATCGGAACTGAAGTCACGCACCAGACATTCTGCAGCAAATGCTGACTCTATTTTGCTTGCCCCTTGTAGACCGAAATACTCTGTCAAACTCCAGTTGCATGCTGCCTATATACTTTGCAACTAGTGTACAAAAGCCTCAAGTAGCTCATGATAAGCAGCATCAATAATGTAGCATATAGCCACTTCCAGCCCATTGAAGCTCAAACAAACCAACCCCCATGATCCAAAAACGCTGAGCAAAAGGAGTCCATAGCAAGCAATAATATATATTGCATGTCTTGACACAGGCAAGCAACGTGCATTTGCATCAAGTTGTTAAACAAAGCCATCCAGCCCACGGTGGTCCAGTCCATACCACTCCAGTGTGTAACAGAGACTAGTTTGTAACCTGGAGTACCAGAGGACCAGCGTGCAACAAAATATCCAGCAAGCATTACTACAGAACACAGAATGCAGAATTAAGCGCCGCTTTGTTTCAAGCAGGAAGGCATATCCTCCCTGACTACGTCTGTCCAAAATATGATTCAGTACTGTCCGTGTCACTTTTGGGGCGTATTTGGGTACTACTCATGGGCACAAAGAGTGATAAAGAAAACAAAGACCAGGTCGGGCTATGCTGTCTGATGATGAGTGCCCTTCATGTTTCCCATTGATCAATGTTTTTTGCATCATGCAAGAGGACATGCTCACAGTATTGTGCACAAGCTACACTAAAATTTGGGCTTTTCAGGAATTTGTGCTTGGTGCTTTGGTCTTGAAACACACACAATCCTGACAGCATTCAGGGCACTGTGCAGGTGGACTTGTGCGCATGAATGTCGTGAGTCCTACAGGGCAGCATTTTTGTTGTCCACTTTCGCCAAATTCGATCAATAATCGACATACAGACCGTCCTCTGAAATGCACCATACCTCCCGACTGGGCGCAGTTGTGGATGCCACTGGTTGTGAGATTGGCCCTTCCGTGATGTTTCCCAGTTGCCCTTGCATTTGATCCAGGAATGGGCGCAGCATCTGGCCCATAGGGGTCGACAGTACATCGCTGGGCATGCTGAGGATGTCAGCCTGCAAGGGACAGTACATCAAAAGGTCCGTCACACAAACGAATGCAACACAGCAAATATGGATGGATGGCAAGTGACATCTGTCTGCTTTTGTTGCAGGACGCGAAGGAGAGCCATGCCTTCTGCAGCAGGATTGCCCCAAGGGCAACGGCATCATTTGGTGCAGCTTCAGTGCCAACAACACCACTGCAGAGCTGTCCACATGAACACAACCGATTTTGTGTGGAGAAATCAAAGTGTGCAAGGGATGTCTTATGCTGACACTATCACTATGGCATCAATCAAAACCAATGTGTACGGTACTTGTACCGAATTTGGAATGGGCTTGCGTTCTGTTATCCTGCCATAGTAGCAGCCATGCAAAGCACGATTCGCCTGACATGACCAACAATTCATCGCCTGCAAGGTGCTAGGGCTTTGCTTTGTAGCACGCCGTTTCTGCCCCTATTTGGATTGTTTTCGTTGGAGGCATTTTTCTTTCCCTTTCAGTCTGTTTCTCTACCCGGGTGTGTTGGCCATGCCCTGGGGTATCTTGGGTCGTGTGACGGGGGGAGGCATCACACGGATTCCCCTAAACCCCAAACGTACGGCGTCATGCCGGATGCGATCGTGCACATGGCGTCACGCAACCCAAGATACTTGTGGGGTAGCCTGTTGTCATGCTGCACAACTGTGTAGTATGCGGAGTTGTAATCTTGGGGGAACATTCAACAAGCACTGACTGGATATTTCTGCACCCATAATTGCCTGCAAAGGCTTCGTCTGTAATGGCTGTTGTGACAACAGCAGTCCACGGTGCTTCATGTCATGGACTGTTGATAAAATGCTATCGAAGAATTCTGCAAAGCAGCCAGTGCCTCACCGGTATGCTGTTGCCTGTCAGCATTGTCGACAGTTCATCGCTGAAATTGTTGCAATTGTTGTTGATCATGTTGTATGTCTCTGGTGTGAAGCGCCCACTCATGTCTCG